GAATGAAGAAATGTTAGATTTTGGTCCATCTCTCTCTCTCTTTGTCAAAGGCAACAGAGAAAAGGCATACCTATAGATATCACCAACAGATGGGACCATTGTCAGATTTGTAATAATGGATTTGGATTTCTCTAGACTTTCTAAATCTTTTGCAGTAATTTTTACCTGCAAAAGCACGCAAATTAATTTAGTTAGAATTGTCAAGTACAGTGAAAAGTAGTCATGGAAGAATTCACATTCTCATCTTACAATTCCATCGTCTTCTGCGTCAATAGCTTCAACTCCAGATTCTTCAATAATACTCTTAACTTTCTTGCCACCAGAACCAATGATCAGGTTAATTTTATCAGGATGAACCTACAAAACACAACTAAGGAGGTCACAAAAGAACCAGATACCATTAACCATCAAGTGTGAGATCAAATATTGAAACATGCAAATTGGAATCAACCCAACCTTCATGACATGAATCAATGGAGCGTACTTTGAAAGCCTTTGTGAAGGAGGAGGTGAACATTTCGACATTTCAGCTGAATCATAAAATAAAATAATAAATCAGACGAAATGATGATATAGTTAAGTCATTTTAGCCATTGATTAAAAAAGTTACATCTACATTCCAATCCCTCAATGAAGCATCAAGTAACAAGAAATGTCATAAAGGTTAGGCCAAGAACCACAAAAAACCATTTCACGCATGACTTCAGTAAGAACAATAAGCATGTATTACTTCAAATGGTAATGATGGGAAGAATTTTTTTTTTTTGGAATAAAAAATTGTGTATTACGTATATGACAATGAGTGTTTTCCCTATATAAAAATATTTACAAGTCTGTTAGTACATCAAATACTCTCCCAAAATCATCCCACCGATATATATCATGACCCAAAATTAGAGACTCAAAAGTATGTAACCACATCTATTTAATTTTGTCCATATCCCTCACACACCCATTGAACTCTCTATCGTTCTTCTCTTTCCACACCACCCAAAAAATAGTTAAAAGAATCAAAGTAGCAAGTTTTGGTCTAATCCTAACCCCTCCCTAAGCCCAGAGTTCGTTTTTTACCGAGCCCCCAATCACCCAATTAATACCCAATAAGTTGTACGTCATATGCCAAAGACTATAGGTCACCGGGCACCAAAGAAGTAGATGATTGCAAGATTCAGCAACTTCCATACAAAGATAACAACCATTAACCATAGTATGACCTCTTCTTATCAACTTATCAATAGTAAAAATGCATTCCCGACCCGCTTCCCAGGGAAAAAAAAGTGATTCTCGTTGACGCCTTCACTTTCCAAATATGACAAATCGGGAAATTCAAGCCAACATCATCCCTATTAGCCAAATACTCATAGACGACTTTACAGTAAAAATATCATCTTTCTTAAACTTTC